ATCAAGCGCGCGGTACAGTCACATCCTACGAGCAAAGTTGCGCTGTTAAGTGTGTGTGCGCTCACGGGCGTCTTTGTTCCTCAAATGGGAGGCGCCGTTAGATGACTTCAGTGATTTTAGCGTCTCCTTCAAGCGCCCAGAACGGAAACAGTCGCTTCTTTTGGCTCTCAATAACATCAGTATCTTTCCCTCGCTGTTTTCATGGGGCTCTTTCAGTGGGTCACATCGCTGTACTGCACAGAGTGTACCCACTAAACACTGTCCGACTGCGCATGCGCAAACGGGACCGACTGTAGAGGTCTGTGTAGGAAAGTTCAGTCGTTCACGTTATGATGATGCTGAAAACTAACGTATTTATTCGTCCCGTCTTCTGATGGACACGTTTTTTTGTTTTATGAATAGTTTTACGCTTCATGGGTTGTAATGGTAGGTTCGGTTGCACTGTGACAACTTACCCCTGTTATGTTGTCACTAAAGGTCAGTGTGTTCAAGGTCTTTAATCCCGGGCAAAACTTTTAAAATGGTGTTTTGTACACTCTAGAAAATGCTGGGTTAAATATAATTCATTTTCAACCTATTTTGGGTCAAGAAATATAGTAATGTTTAAGCAATAGTTGAATTAAATAAAACTAACCAGAAGGTAGCTGGGTCAAAACAACCCAACTGCTGGGTTAAAACAACCCAACTGCTGGGTCAAAACAACCCAACAGCTGGGTTAAAACAACCCAATAGCTGGGTCAAAACAACCCAACTGCTGGGTTAAAACAACTCAATAGCTGGGTCAAAACAACCCAACAGCTGGGTTAAAACAACCCAATAGCTGGGTTTGTCCCTTTTTAACCCAGCATTTTTTGGAGTGTAGCCAAGATGCATAGGCTATTGACAAATAAACTACTCTGAGAAATTCAGATAATAGTGTAGTGTTAATAGCATTACACCACACCACTGAGATGCTAATAAAGCAAGAAAAGAAAACAGAAAGTGACAGACTGCATACTGTAACAACAAAGTGTCACAAACATCGGCTGGAAGAAACCACAGCTAACACAATGCTGCTAAACAAAAACAAAAATTACACCCTGAGAACCTAGTCTTAGGGAAATTATTCTGCACAGACTGGTAGAGAAATTTGAATTGTTTCCATCACATATTCCTGCAGTGGCACAATGTGGTGTTTTGAAACGAGGAGGCAAAGTCCTCTGTGTTTTTTATGATTTTTAATCCAATATAAGTTTATGTTCCAGTTACACTGACACTGTGCTGACTCATTTTCCAGGTTAAATAAATTAATATTATTACTTGCTATTTTATAAGCATGGTTAGACACACAAATAAAATGAAGTTTATCTTCAGCAACGCTGTTTACACATTCCGTTTTTGATGTATGAGAACAAATTCCAAAGCAGTATGTTTTCAGCAGTAAATGTATTTTAAAGCTGAAAAACAATAAAGTTGAAGAGTTTCAGAGATGAAGAGCTTTGCAACTCATGAACAGCTTCAGGCTATCTTATTAAAAAAGATAAATTGCCAAAAATGTTTTAGAGAACCTGAGCATTAACGTATTATCAACATACTGTACATTAAATGTTCCCCAGTAAAGGAATGTCCACATTTCAATTATTCACACAAATAAACCAACACTTACCGTGTTCATGTATGATCTCTGCTCTCCTCAACCTTCAAACCCTAATAACTGAACTGAAGTGGGAGTTTGAATGATATTGATTTCCTAAGTTAATCACTTCATTGATATGTGAAATAAAAAATAACAAATTGCAATATTCTCCAATAAGGTTTGGCAACATTATTACGCAAGTCATTATGTCAATCACAGAGAAAACCAATTCCACTCTACAAATACTATCTAGAGTTGAAGACATTTCTTTAATGCTGTTATTGGACACTAGAATAATAATAATCGGTCATCTTCAGCGGCTGTGGCTTTCCTTCAGTAGGACGGTATTCTGGTAATATCTGGCCATCTTGGGTTGCAAAAATTGTTAATTAGCTTACAGTATTCTTATTACTGTCTCCATGGAGGAACCTGAATTCCGTGAATTGATCCATCTCTATCTCTCTCTTATTGTATTTGATTTATTTCTCTGATATCATTGTCCTGAGAAACATCCACTGACCATTATGGATTGACTGAAACTAATAATTTCTGGTGAACTGTTGCCAGCAATCTTTCTACTTTAAAGTCATTCTTAAAGGAATAGTTCACCCAAAAATGAAAATTTGCTAAAAATGTCCTCACCCTCAGGCCATACAAGATGTAGATGAGTTTGTTTCTTCATCAGATTCTGAGAAATGTAGCATTACATCACTTGTTCACCAATGGATCCTCTGCAGTGAATGGGTGCCGTCAGAATGAGAGCCCAAACAGCTGATAAAAACCAAATATAGTAATCCACTTTTTTGAAGAGGGGGGTCAATATGGCAATCTTCACCTTAAATTCAAAGCCAATTATAGGGTGGTAAAAATGACTTCAGATAGATGGCAGCATCATAATAATGTTATTTTTACACAGAGATTGGTAGGTCTATTAGTAAAATCTGGTGACTTTAGCAATCTTTACTGCATTATGTGCCAATGGTGAACATTCAAAATTGGTGAAAGAGCACTTTTCAATTGTTTTGAAAGAGGGAAACAAGATACATTTCTAAGTTCAGCATTACTTATTCTTCAGATATCCCCCTTTAAAACATTAAGTATCAGCTGTATAACCATTGAAAATGGGTTATATTCAACAATTTGAATATGGAGCCTCCTTGCGTCCCCCATATCTTTGGGACTGAATGATGTAGGTCCTTGGAAATGAAGATTCCAAAAAAAAAGTTTATTAAGAACTAGAATCTAAAATCATACAGCGATATCTTTAATACTTCTTTAGTTATAGGCATGCAAACTTTGGAAAAATAATATTTATGGCACTCAGAGGTGTGTTCAATGTAGTTGTTTTGACATAAGGAAACAAGATACATCTCTAGTTTCAACATTAGTTGTTCTTCAGACATTCCTCTTTAAAATAAAATAAGCATTTTATTTTTGCAAAGTCATCCACATTTGGTTTTTGACCATTGCAAATGTGTATAATTTAACAATTTACCCCTGGAGCCATATTGAGATCCCAGTATCTCTGGAACCGAACCATATAGGGCCTTAAAGGAAAGTCGTGTCTCTGGACCGGAGCAGAGTGTGTGTGCGGTGGTTAGCGTGCCACAGCGCCAAACCAGACTTATTTTTTTCCTCAATGGAAAGCATTTTTACACTGTTTGAATAGTTCCCTGTCCCCTATATAGTGCACTACATGCCATTCACTGTACAGAAAATACTAATTCTGTGGACAAATGACCGATTTCAGCCGCGGCTTCAGTGTCTATTTTATAGTGTAGGGGGCGGGCGCTTCGGATTCTAGAGAGCATTTGATTGGACAGAAAGTTTGGTGTGAAGCTGAAGTACAATGTGACGTCAAAAAAAGTGACGATCTGCAAGCTTTGAATGCTTTTATCTTCTAAATGCGAATTTTGTCACTGTTTTTGGAGCACACTGCCTTATAGATAAGCTTAAGACTAACATATTGATACTAACACCCAAAAAACTTTCATTTTGATTTCATGGGGACTTTAAGATCCAATATCTAAAAGGGCATTAAGCTATCTTTAATACCAGTTATAGGCATGCAAACTTTGGAGAAAAAAAATTAAAATTTAAAAGTGCTCTTTCCCCATTTTTGCATAGTCACCATTTGCACACAATGCAACAAAGATTGCTAATGTCAACATATTTGACTAATAAACCTATCAATCTGTGTGTAAAAATAACATTACGATGTTGCCATCTTACTGAAGTAAGTTTTACCCTCCCGTAATTTGTCTCTGAATCTAGTAATAGTGGATTACTCAGTAAATATTCATCCATGACATTTAATATTTTGGCTTTCATCACTATACATGTTTATCTGTCTTCAGAAAAAAAATATTACAAACATTTGAGCCAGGGAAGTTTCTGAAATTTTGTTGATTTGACAGAATGACCCTTATGATTTTTTTTTTCTTTTAAATTAAAATTTCTTTAAAGCTGCACATTCACCGTATGTAGACTTTACTCTTTTTAAATATCACAAAATAGCAATGTCTGTCACTTCCTCATAAACACAATGTGTAGTTGTGTGTGTGTGTGTGCGTG